CCCTAAGGTGCTTGAAGATGTGCTGGTTGGCAGCCTGGGGGGTCTGGCAGGACATGGGGAGGTTCCGAAAGCCACTGGGTCCTCAAACATTGTGTCCCACCTCTGGCAACAGGGTGTCTTTGGGACATACCCAACTGTGCTCCTCAGAGCCCTCAAGAGCTTCTGTCCCCACACCCTGACTTGGACCATGGGGCTGCATCCTCTCTCCTCCCTATTCCCAGGATCTTGGCCAGATGGCCACATCCTCCCCATCCTCTTGGGCATCTCGAGCCATTGCCAGAGCTCTAGTTCAGACCAATCCTGGAGCGTGGCAAAGCCTCAGGGCCCTGGTGGCTCTTTTGGCCATGCCTCCACGGAGCAAGAGAGAGGCAGGCAGCAGGGCAAGGATGGAGCTGGGCTTTGGCCGCCCAGCCTGATGGCTTCTCTGCTTGTTCAGTCGCCTGCAGCTCGGGATGAAAGCCGAGAGGATAAAACCACCATCAAATGCGAGACGTCCCCCCCATCCTCACCCAGGACATTGCGGCTGGAGAAGCTGGGCCACCCCGCGCTAAGTCAGGAGGATGGGAAGAGGTACGTGGAGCACCCTTGGGATCTCCCACCAGTGCCTGCTCTGTTGGTTTGAGGATTTACATGGGGCAAGTGTGGGGTTGTGGATCAGGATGGGGTTTGCCATGGCTTGTGTGCTGCTCGGGAATAACCTCAAGGCTTTGCTGTTCCTCTCCCTCCTCCATCCCCAGCTCACTGGAGGAGCAGGCCAGCAACCCCAGCAGCAACAGCAGCCAGGACTCCTTGCACAAGGGCTCCAAGAGGAAGGGGATCAAATCCTCCATCGGGCGCTTGTTCGGGAAAAAAGAGAAGGGTCGCTTGATTCAGCTGAGCAGAGAAGGGGCCACGGGGCAGGGTCCGTGAGCAGCCCTATTCCCATCCGTGCCGGGCGGGCATCCTCTCGGGCCAGGCTCTCCGCATGCTTCCTACCGCTGTCTGACTTTGGGGGGCTGTTGGGGTGACAGGAGGAGGAGCAGGGACACTCCTGCTGGTTTGGGAATGGTGGGGCCACTGGCTCTGGGCTCCTGGCACCTAGGGTCCTGGTGCTTTGTGCCTCGCAGCCCCTCCTGGACGGTGCATGGTGTCAGTCTTAATGCTCTGCAAGAGCTGCAGTGAGGACAGGGACCCCTCCATCACTGTATCTTATCTTTAATGTCCCCAAATCTGCTTCCCTCCCCATGGGACCTTTTTGATTTTGCAGAGACCTTTGGTAGGAGCTGCTTTTCCACTCCTCAGTCCTTTACTGCGCTTCCATGTTGACTGTTTTGAAATGGGAGGGATGGGAGGCGGGGATCCCCGTGGGCTTCCAAGGGGTGCAGGGGGGCCGTGGGGGTGGGTTGGAAATGGTGACTGTCACCTCCTGTGCTGCAATTGCACATCCCCAACACCCTGGCGGTGCCCACACTGAATCCCTGGGACATCACACTGACGTCAGGATGTCTCGCCCAACAGTGCTGCTGACCGACGTGGAGGTGGGCATGCAGGACCCGCTGGGACTTGGCAAGCTGGGTGCTCAGGCTGAGAAGGATCGGCGCCTGCGGAAGAAGTGAGTGAACCTTCTTCCCTGTCCCAGCAAGAAAATGTCTTGCCTGGTGACTGAGAAGCCATGGCACAGAGCCGGGAGTTGCTGGGAAGGACTTCTCATCTTCACCTTCTCTTAAGCCCTTTTAGCTCCTTTCTTGCCTTGCTACCTGCTGGGTCTTACTGCGTGTGGTCTCTTCCCTTTCAAGAGCTGCTCCCTTCCTCACAAGCTCCCAATAAATCACTCTTCTGCTTCTGTTCTCTCCAGGCACGAACTCCTGGAAGAAGCTCGGAGGAAAGGATTGCCCTTTGCTCACTGGGATGGCCCCACCGTTGTCTCCTGGCTGGAGGTGAGGCACAGCACACCCGTGCATTGTCCCCAAGCACCAACAGCTTTGCAGTCACTGTGGGTCAGTCATGTGCTCCCCTGGTAGCATTGCAGCGCCCTGCAGCCCCACCATGCTTGGTCCATGCACATGGTTGGTGGTTGCAAAACTTGGGGGAGCAGAGCAGGTCCCTACATGTTCTGTAGAATTGTGGTTTTTGGGTCTCCTCAAGCCCACACCTTAGCTTTGAGAGGAAAGGCTCAGTGGGTGCTCTTTCGCTGTGCTGTGTCCATCCCAGAGGTAGGGACGCTGGGCTGCCCATGGGCCATCTGTGCAAGATACCAAGAAAAAAGGAGCTCCATGTGGGTATCGACTTTGATACTGGGTATCATGATGACTGGGTAGGTCGACAGGGCAGTCACAGGCTTTGCCCTGTTTTGGCAGCTCTGGGTGGGGATGCCAGCCTGGTACGTTGCCGCTTGCCGAGCCAACGTGAAGAGCGGAGCCATCATGTCAGCCCTGTCCGACACTGAGATCCAGAGGGAGATCGGCATCAGCAATGCCCTGCACCGCCTCAAGCTGCGTCTGGCCATCCAGGAGATGGTCTCGCTCACGAGCCCCTCTGCACCACCCACCTCACGGACGGTAAGTGCCCCATGCCCTGGACCCACTCTTCCCCCAGACAGACCCTCCATGGGGCAGGACGACAGGCTTGTTTCCCCAGTTTCCCTGACTCCTTGGGACCACAGTGGTCCATCAGTCCCCAGAGAGTGCCAGTGTCGCAGGCAAGCATGGCTGTGGATGGGGTGATGTTCCCTCCTGGACCGGTCAAGCCACCAGACACGTGTCCTCAGGCACAAAGGTCATTTACGGCTGTTGGGTGAGAAGCACTTTCCTGTCCTGAGGCACCAGCAGATGCTCTTGTCCTCGTGCTCAGAGGTTGTCGGCAAGAGGCTGAAAATGCAAAGAGCAAAGCTCAGGGTCTGTCTGCCTTGGAGAGGATAAAATCCCACCAAACAGCACACGCGTGATTTACAGGGCCGGCTCAGCTATGCGGAGCCTTTTCTTGGTCATTTCAATACAAGCCTTTTCTGGGACCACATAAAATTTCTGGTCAAGGGGCTTGCCCTGGCTAGGACATGGAATGGATGGAGGTATCGTGTCTTGTGCTGTTCCCCAAAACCCCTGAGAGATTAATGGTGCCCCAGTAGTGCCAAGACATGGCTGTAGAAATGCAGTCAACAGAAGGGCCCCAAGCGTGCTGTGTCCCCTCAGATGGCCGTAGCTGGGGTCCCAGCTGTCGGAGAGAAGCCTGCAGGCTGCATGAGCATAACACCAAAGTACAAAGGCAGCCAAAGGGTCCTCACAAGCAGCAGGATGCCACCAGCCCAAGCTGCAAGGACCCTGCGAGATCTCCCCAGTACAGCTCCAAGCACAAGGGTGCCCTGATCCTCCATCAGCCTCAGCCGGGCTTGTTTCCAGCACTGTTGTGAACTGAGGCCATGGCTCCATGGTGGTTTACCCTGACCATTCTGCTTTTTTCCCTGCAGTCCTCCGGAAATGTCTGGGTCACCCATGAGGAGATGGAGAACATGGCAACTTCCACCAAGACGGTGAGGCTGGCCTGCCCCTCGGCCACCGCATGGCGTATTGGTTACTGAGCCGAGCTCCGGGTGTACATTAATGCGCTAAACCCCGGGAGGGATGAGGATCTTTGCTGCGTATCGTGTGTCAGCTCTTGGCCAGCACCATGCACCTGTTTAGAAACCATCTTTCAACCTTCAATATCCCAACAATTTCTAAAACTGGCTTAAAAGCCATCAGGTCCATTTTCCTTTGGCAAGCCCCTGTGGGTTTTGCTGGGTTTCTAGAGTAGCTTGTCTGTCGGTTGGGAGTCAGAGGAAAGAAAGGAAAGACAAAAACCAAGAGTGATCTCAGATAGACACATGAGTTTGGGTCCCACATTGGTTATCTTACACCCACAGATGTCACCGTCTAATCTCCTGTTGACCTTAGCACACCCAAATATTGTCCCCACTGTCTGTCTGATGTCCCTACACTCTGGCTGATAGCTTGGGGTCCCTTGGAGGGATGTGGCCGTGCTCCCAAAAGCTCTGGCTCCTTTGGAGAGATGTAGCCATGTGCCCCTCTCTGCAACTGGACCCCATGTCCATGTCTCCAAGTAGGAGCAGCATTTTGGGTTTGTTATGTGAATTTGAATTAGGAATTTTATTGAAGGTTGTGTCTGCTGGATGAGTAGCACAGACCCATAACTGGCACCTGTGACTGCTGGATGCCTTTTGGGGACGGAGAGCTCAGAGTTATGGCAGGGACGTGACACTTTCCCTTGGCAGATTTTGTGAGGTTGAACCAAACTAGCTCAGGCTGATAAGAGAAGAAATAGCAACACAATTGTCAGATTGGTTTGGGCAGCCCCTCTGGGGGTTGTGACCTGTGAGATGAAGCTTGGGTTTCTCTCTGCATCCATCTGTCTTTGGGGGACCCAAGAACTACCCATATTTCCCAGGAAAGATGTATGAGCCCCAGTGTCCATGTCATCTCCAGCCCAAGATCCACGAGAAAAGTCTCGTCCTGTATCCTCTTGACTGACACATGGGGCAAAACCTGGGCCTTGCGGGGTCGGGGTGTCCCCAGCACTCTGTCGACAAGGCTGAGCTCCCCAAGCCTTGCAACCGTGACCCCCATCCCCTCTGGGTCACACCGTGCCGAGGGGTCCCATGCTCCGCATACATGGGACACGCTTTCACGGTGCAGGGCCGCCGGGTACTGACTTTACCTGTCCTTTCTATTGACATGCTGCATGTGTCACGCTTAGGACATGGAGGAAGGCAGCTGGGCACAGGTGAGGTCCTCATGTCACCCTTTTCCATGGGTGGCGGATGGGGGGTTATGTGGGGGAGAGCTGGACATCACAGGGCACCCAGGGGTGAGCTTGGGGCATCAGTATTCGCCAAGTCCTGCTTGGAGTCTGAGCCTGCACCCTCAGGTTGCTCCTCTGAGCTCTCTCTCAAGCATGGGGGGGTCCTCCTGGACCTTGCATTGAGCGGCATCCTTCTCTGCTTCAGGCAGAGTGATTTTTTTCGTGTAAGACACAGATCCTGTGTTAAAACCCCAAAGTAAGAGTGACCAGCCACCCTGCATGGGAGGAAGGTTTCTACCTGCACAGACATTTAGTTTTCACCGTTTCTTTAGCTCCAAGTTCAGGATATAGACCATTTCCATGAACTGAAAAGTTGTGAGGAAAGAGTCCTGCTTGGATCCATCTCCTACGGTTTTATCATTCTCAAATGTTTTACTTTTATTCTGGGGGATTTTATTTCGTTTTTGGACCCGGAATCAGTTTGCAGTGAAAGCAGATGGATGTTTTCCTGCCCAAAACTGACTTTTTTTTTTTTTTTTTCAGTTTGAAGTCATAAAGTAGATCTTTGGGTGATTTCTAAGCTTCTTAAAAAATCAGTTGAGAATGCACTGAAACCTATTTCTTAGTTGCTTCAGCTTTCATGAATGTTCTTTTTCCGGAAGAAGCTGGTCATAAAGTCCAGCTATCCCTTCTGCTTTTTGGCTACTGCCTTGTCTCCTTGGGGGACATCAGTAGGACACAGACCATGGCCAACAGGACTGCTCCTTCCAGCTCCTTCAGTACAAACTCCTCTGGCTAGGTTTGGTCCTCAGGACGGTGACCGCCAGGCTGCAGCATTGAACTGTCACTGGTCTCCTGGGAGTCTGCAGCTCCACCAAGTCCTGGTTTCTCCCTGACTTCTCCATTTGCTTCTCCACAGACGCTGGCCTATGGGGACATGAACCATGAGTGGATTGGGAACGAGTGGCTGCCCAGCTTGGGTCTCCCACAGTATCGCAGCTACTTCATGGAGTGTCTTGTTGATGCACGGATGCTGGACCACCTCACCAAGAAAGATCTGAGAGTGCACTTGAAGATGGTGGACAGCTTCCACCGGTGAGTCCCCTCCTTCCAGAGGTCCCTTAGGTGAAGTGTCTGCACATGGAGCAGAGAGAAGATGGGGCAGTTTGAGGGATTCTCCCCTGTTTTGGTCAACCCTGCTGCTGGAAGATGGCTTTTCTAGGCTCAACCACCTCAAATGGTGGCAAATATTCTCCTTCAGCACACTCCTTCCAGCAAAATTGCAGAGGACCTAGCCTTCTCCTGGCTGTGGAGCAAACCACAGGCAAAAAAAAGGGTTGTCCCACTTGCTGTCCCACTGGCAGGCAAAACAGTCATCTGCCAGCAGCCCAGCTTGGAGAAGGCTTATGCCATCCCAACCACCTCACCCAAGCACCAGCGTCCTCATCTTCTGACCACCAGTGCTCAGCTCAGACCAGGAGTTGTTGTGGTGGGAATCTTGGGCATCATCTCATCCCTCTCTCTGGCACTCAGAGAGGAGAGAGCATGAGCGGGCATGTGTCCATGGGTCTGCATGGGGCTGTGTCCATGGGTCTGCCAGGGCCTTGCCTGCTCTGGGGATGAACCCTTCAGCCTGGAGCAGCTCCCATGGGCTGGTTTTCCCCAGCCACCAAGCTCGTAGTATCATTACTTAGATCTGTGCACTCTCAAGCAGGCAGAACAGAGTAAAACCGATGGAGTAGGGAATTACCATGGAAGGGAGGGATGTTCCCTGTTTTCTGGCCAAGATCTTCCCTTTGGGTTGTGTCTGTGCTGACCCAGCCCTGAAATGATGCATCCTTTGTGCTCATGGAGAGCAAGCAGGGAAGTGAGTCCCTTCGCAGGTCCCTTCAAGCCACTTGCTCTGTGATGCTGAGCCCTCCTGAGGGTTGGGTGACATCTCATGTCCTTGCAGCACCAGCCTGCAGTACGGCATCATGTGCCTGAAGAGGCTCAACTACGACCGCAAAGAGCTCGAGAGGAGGCGAGAAGAGACCCAACATGAAATCAAAGGTCAGCAGCCACATACATGATCCAGCTCTGGAAAGGAGATGGGAAACCTCTCAAGAGATGCCCAGCGATAGTCTCTCTTCTATCCCATGTTTTTAACACAGTAGGGAAATTTCTGGGCAACTGTGCCCAGAGAGCTGTTCTCCGTGGGGAACCTCCCTGCGGTATTTCCCCAACAGATTGCTCCAGGTGGAAATATGCAGCTTACCCCAGTCAGGCATGAGGAGGGAAGGAAGGGTGTTGAGACAGAAAATTTCCAATCCTGCCCGTTTTGGATGCTGAGGACACCCCCCAGCTTGCTCAGCTTCCCCTTCCTCATTGGCTGTCCTGAGATTCCCTGCACATCTGGCTGCTGCTTAGATTACATCTCGTTATTGATAATGCCCCTAATTACACCAGCAGCCGTGAGTTCTTAGGATTAATTTTCACAGTTGTTTACTGCCTGTTATTTCAGCATTTAGTTTGGTAAATTGAAGTGAGCTGTTCCTGGCACTTGAACACCCAGTATTGCTGCCAGCTCGGGAAGGAGAGCCCCAGGATCAGCCTGGGGCTGTGCCAGAGGGCTTTGGGACGTCATCAGGTCCCCGCACAACTGAGAGCATGGTCTGAGCTGGCTCTGAGACATGCGCTTGCTTTTTTGTAGACGTATTGGTGTGGACCAACGACCAGGTCATTCATTGGATCCAGTCCATCGGGCTCCGTGAGTACGCCAACAACCTTGTCGAGAGCGGGGTGCACGGGGCGCTCCTGGCCCTCGATGAAAACTTCGACCACAACAGTCTGGCACTCGTGTTGCAAATCCCCACGCAGAACACGCAGGTAAGAGCAGCATCCTTGGGGGATTTTGGAGGAGGGTGGCCAATGTGAGACGTGGCTGCAGTGTGATTCCACCAGTCCCACCAACTCAACTCTGGCGGTCAATGCAGAGCACTCGGATGGCGCGTGGGCTTTTTCTCTGTCATTCTCAGGCTTTCCTGGGATGGGAGGTTGTGCTGTGAATTGTTTCCATCGATGGGGAATGCTCATTTTTTTGTTGTTTTTAGGCTCGACAAGTGCTGGAGAGGGAGTTCAACAACCTGCTCGCCTTGGGCACAGATCGGAGGCTGGACGATGTGAGTACCAAAGCTCTCCCATGTCCACATCGTGCTGAGTGCCCGTTCTTGGGCAAGAAACGGGAGAGACAGGACCTCCGCTCTCTCCCTCCTTGTCCAGGGAGTCAAGTAGTGCCTCACAGACTCTCTAGAGCAGTCGCATGAGCAGTGTCCATGGAATAAGCTAGAACTACTAGACAAGGCCATGAGGAGTGTGCTGCCAGGCTGTGGAGGCAGGTGAGGAAGAGTCTTGTGCATCATTTCTAGCTTCATGCTCGGTGGGCTGAATTTCAAGTAGGCTCACCTGGCTTTCCTTGCCAGCTGCTTTAGCATTTTAGAGTCATTTTAGATTGCATTTGAGAGTCATAGATGTTCTAGGCGTGACACATCTGCAGTGGGTAAAGCTGGTGGGTTAGAGATGCCCCGTTAAGCAGCCAGAAATCTGTTCATGTTGAGTCACTGCAAGGTGGGAATCCATATAGATCTCTCCGATGTACAGCTTTTCTCCATGAGCTAGGATAGCAGAGCTGCTTTAGAGCCCAGAGAGAAGCAGACACTTCCAGATGCCATCATCTGGCTGAGGTTAGATGCATCCCTTGAGGTCTTTCTTGTTGATGTCTCCAAGGCATCTTTGCAGGCAGGTTGGAGAGAAGAGATAGGCAAGCTGGAAAGGATAAAGCTGATGTCATGGGATGCCGGAGAGGTCTCCTATGTCCTTGGCCCAGTTTGATCACACACTTCTGCACTGGTTGAGTTGGTCGCCATGTACAGGCACACCCTTAGTTAGGTGGAAGCAGTGCTGGGACCTCCCAAGGGCAGAAGGTCCTGCTGCCACCGATGCCAGGCCCATAACCTGCTCCTTCTCCTGCAGGGCGATGACAAGACCTTCCGTCGAACCCCATCCTGGCGAAAGCGCTTCCGCCCTCGAGACATTCACAGCATCAACATGCTCAGTGGCTCGGCCGAGACGCTGGCCGCCGGCTTCACCGGTACACAGCTGGTAT